GTGTGTGTGTGAGAGAGAGAGAGAGAGAGAGAGAGAGAGAGAGAGAGAGAGAGAGAGAGAGAGAGAGAGAGAGAGAGAGAGAGAGAGAGAGCATGTTCTAGCAAGTTGTGGAATACAAGTTTCTTGGAGGGGATAGAGCAGTAAATCCTGAACTGCCGTCTGCGCACACAAATGTAACGTCATAAATCCACACACACACACCCACCTCCAGTGCTCCCAAAGGGTCTCCAGCCAGAATGTCTGTTCCCGCATTATAGACAATGAGCTGTGGTGAAAACTCCTGCTCGGCCGTCTGCGCACACGAATTTAACATCATAAATCCACACACACACACACACATTGTCACAGAAGATAAAAACAACGATTTTCAGTGCACAGCAACGTAAAAACCCTTAACAGAGGACCATGCCAGCTGTAAGGTTTGCCTAGCCACCAGAAGGTACACCGATACAGGCCCGTCAGCTCTGTCGTGGGCAGTGTGGCCATGAAATGACATTGGACCTTCTTTCGAGCAGATGTCCCTCCCCCCTCCTCTCGAGCAGATGTCCCTCCCCGCCAATAAAACAGAGCCTTCTCTTCTTCTTTTACAAAAATAAGAAAAGCAATTTTAAGTTCTAATTTTTCTTAACACATCTGATTAATGCCAAAGACGCGAGGAGAGTGTTACCTCCAAGCATGAGCAGATACGCAAAGAAAATGTTCTCTGTGAGGCGCTCTCCAAACCCGAAGGATAGCAGAGGCAATTCCTCCCGGACTATCACACACAATTTTTCAACTCTATAACTCACCGAGTCCCCTGATCCTCACAGTAAGTACCTGAGGCCCAGCTGAGACACATTTTGTCTCGCCCACCCCCGCCCACTCCCCCCCTGCAGCAGCATTTGATCCGAGTCCTCACGTGGGGCCAGGCCGGATAAAGCAATACGTTCTTGTTGTCGGTTCCTTCACGACATTCTGCATCGCGCTGAAGCTGTGAGCCTTGCACTGAAGTGCGCCATGCTGCCTTGCCTCCACCAGTGAACAGAGGGACGAAGAGAGAGTCTTGGCGGGAACGCCGGGAAGTCATAGCCAGAGGCGCAAGGGCAAGCAGCCATGGCTAGTAACAGTGAGGTAGGAGATGAGAGAGAAACTCTCGAGCGAGGACTGAGCGGCAAAGAAGCTTATAGATAGAGGTGCGAGGGCACGCAGCCATAGCTAGTAGAAGTGAGGTAGCAGGTCAGAGAGAGAGAGAGAGACTGGGAGAGGACGCACATGCGAGAAAAGAGGCCTAAGGGGAGAAGAAGTGTGGTGAGAGGCAGCCAGAGCCACGCAAAGGAGACGCCTCCACAAAGCCGGCATCAAGAAGAGGACTCTAAGGAGCTGCCACACACCAGTCAGTGTTCTTCACCAAGGGATAATCCTGTTTGCACTGGCCATACAGAGGTAGGGACAGGAACTACTAAGTGGAAGGAGAAAGATAGCAGCTGTGGATCATGAGGGGGAAGCCACCATCATACCCATCGTAGGGTGAGCTGGGCTCCAAGGCCAGAAACGAAATCAGCATTTCTCATCCGAGACTAAACGTTGTGCGTGCCTGGCAAGAGAAGAAAAGACCGGCAGTGAGGCCCAGCGCCTGACAACCCGTGGAGGTCCAGCCAGCCCCAGACAATCCCAGCAACATAGAGCTGGACAGGCGGTAGAGTAACCTGTGAGACTGGTGAGAAATTGAGAATAGCTTTTGCCATATCCACGTCGATTAATCTGAGGTGTTGAGAACTTGAGAGGAGAGGACAGTTTGACTCTGAAGGAGAACTTGGGGAAGGGAAGAATGAGAAAATGGAGGGCATTCAAACTCTTGCTGTTGCAGTTATATCTAGAATCGTTCATTGTGTTCTGGTTCATTGAACTTCATTCTCTTCTGGTGTTGACATGTGATCATTTGCTGCTTCAATGATTGATTGGTTTCCATGAAGGTCGGATTTGTACGTGATCCCATGGGCCCAAGAGTTGGGACGTGACTAAAGCTTCTTGTGAACGGTTTTCATTGCGGTGGGGCTCTACAGGTTCCGGTTCAAGAAAAAAGGTACCAAAGATCTGGGTCTCGAGGCCCCGGGCTGGAAGGAAAACAAGAATGAAAAAAGAAAGAGAACAAGCAGTATTTAGTCTGTCTCTTATACACATCTAGATGTGTATAAGAGACAGGCTGTACTCAGCAAGCACAGTGCAGCCCCCAACTCAGATTTGAAAAAAAATCAGTGATTTTTTTTTTTCTTTTTTTCGTGAGTGGTCGGCAGACCGCCGGCCGGTCGGCCCTATTGGTCGTCTGCAATACGGTCGGCGGTCAGGGTCGGCGGTCAGGGTCGGCGGTCAGCAACGATGCAACCCTGTCTGCAAGCCAAAAAAAACAAATGAACCTGCCGGGGCCTTCTTTTGGCTGGTGCCGCCAGCCATTTTGCTTGGGTAGACCAACCCCCGAAATTTGCAGCGCGTTAACGGCCGCGCGAGTGAGGTACTGGTGGCTTAAACTTTAAATTTAAAAACAACGACTACATCTGTGGGGGTAAACCGATGAACCTAACGAGGCTTGGTGCTGGTTCGGTGATGAGATGAGGCCGACCGGGAAAAATGAGGGCCTACTATCGTCACCACTCTGGAAAGAAAGGATGTCGTCGCTCTGCTGGTTGGTGGTGGTTCAAGCTCTGCTATCTGATGAAAGATGAGTATGGGGCCCCACTCCACTACTCAACATTCGCAAGTTATCTGAACTGGACCGGGCCGTAGACCAGATACATTTGGACTGATCGAACAATTTACCTCTAACAGGTCCTCATACATTGATTTCAGTGTGTAGTGAAGCGAGCCTCAATACTGACGTGCAACCGACAGACAGCTCAACATGGAAGAGAGAGAGAGAGAGAGAGAGAGAGAGAGAGAGAGAGAGAGAGAGAGAGAGAGAGAGAGAGAGAGAGAGAGAGAGCGGGGGGGGGGGAAGGAGGTAAGGCAATGAGAGGGACTACGCACCTGACGTCACCATGATGATTGGTATTTGCCTTGTCCGGGCAAAGGAGAACACAACCTCATCCCTCTCAATGATTCCTTCTTCGCTAACCTGCAAACAAAGGATTTTTTAAGAAATTTCAGACATCTTAATACTAGTTGATAGTTATTAACTTATCAGTTAGTAAAGGATTTTAAAAATTTTAGACGTAGGACTAGTATACATCACCAAACAGAACCGCCCGGTAAACGGTAGAAAGAGAGGGAGAAGAGGACAGCAAACGAGGGGCTGTGACAAACTGTTTCATCAGAGTTTCACCGACTCATCAGGAGGCTGAACCCTCAACAGTCTGCCGAATCTCCTAACTGATTACACTGTAAGTGATATCCCACCTTAATCCCGGATATGGTTGAGCATTGATGACTATAATGATAGTATAATCATATTAAGTTAACTAATGTAGCAAAAGCTAGCATGTCGAAAGAAACAATGGCATCTGAAATTTCTAAAATAAATTTAGGAAAAATCGCACATGGCACAAGTAACAGTCGGGATCTCGAAAGAAATAACGGTGAGATCTAGGCTACCAGCCGGGCCGCCCAGGTCGCCCTGTTTTCCGGGCGGCCCGGCCATGCAATGACCACGGAAGGTCCGAGCAAAAGAAAAGAAAAAAGAACGACAAAAAGTTAAAAAAACTACGTTATGCAGAAAAATAAACTGAACAACTTTTGCATCAGGGAATCGAAGTTCTTTACCAAACGTGAAATAAAAAAATTAATTAAAAAATAATTTGTTATTACTTTTTTTTTTTCTTTGGCCCGGCCGGGCAAGTGGTCCCGGGCCACTCTGGTAGCCTAGGCTGAGATAGAATCTGATAGATGGAGAATCGGAGATACAATGCAAGAGCCGGTTGTTTCAATGCCAAAAGCATCACCAGAATTTGGCCAGAATTAGAGAGGTGATTAACACCATAACTTTTTCAGCTGAATTTGGCCATAGTTCCAGAGAAAGGGATCCAATAAAATCCCATGTGCGAGCATGTGAGTCGCCGGGCTTTGAAAGACGCGAACCTTCCTGAGGGCCCCTGCTGTCATTCGCTTCGTCATCCTCATCACAAGACACGTGAGCCCCGCCACAACACAAGCGAACTGGATCGCTAGGGGGTGCATATGACCAACCAAAACCAGATGGCTTTTTGACTTCAGCTCCCCACAATAGAATTGAGCTGAAGCCATATGACTACATCCGCACAC